ATTGGTTGCCAGACCTGCAAGACTCTCCCGCACTTGTTTAAGCCGTTATCATAATTTTTACCATGCGAGTATATCTTTCAGGGACCGGCCCCTTTTGTACGGTATTAGAGGAGGATCTTGGTATATTTCCGTGAGCAATGGCTGTTTTTCTATTACGATGAAATGCCGGTCTTTCATTAGTATTTGTCAAGTTTAGCATTGCAGGTGTGAACAGCGTGACAAAAGGCAAGATTCTTTTGTTTTCATTTGGTCTCGGCTGGAGGGCCTCCTTTCTATTCTGAAAATTGTTTTCTGAGTGGCCGGGTCTTTCCTGGTTATCCGCTGTATAAATAAGGCATGATTTGAAGTTGACTTTTTTCTTTGAATGCTACTTTAGATGCCTTTGTTCTCAGCAGTCTGAGGCGCCCCCCCACCCCCTTGATAAAACCATTTTTGACTCCCGCTGGGTGACACGAGGAGGAATTTGTGGGTTGAAATGTTTTGGTGGGCTTGAAGTGGGTGTGTACGCCAAGCACCGATTCGTTTATGAATCTCTCGCCTTTATAAACGCTTGCATCCAGGGATTCACCCGTACACTTGATAGTTGGAAGTTGGTTATCTGCTTGATCAATTAACTGAGTCAATTTCTTTCTGTTAACGTCCAGGAGAGAGGAAATGTGGTCAACAAATCGTTTCCAAGCCGGTGTTACCACAAACCTAATTGCCTGATTATGTTTTTTTAAACGTGCACTCCCTTACAATGAAAAAGGTATATGTGGTATACATGCACAGCCGATCCCAAGCTCCCTGGGTAGTTGGGAGTAGTGAACATTACTATATGACATTGACAAACAGCGTAAACATAAGAGATTGTATGGGAATGTAACGATCGTATGTAACAGTTCGAAATATGGAAAAGAACTTGTATAAAAACGACTTACTTCGACTCTTCTGTGGGTTACTTTTGTTTCCGCGCTGTTTTCCGTTTTGACGCGATTCCAACGAGTTACAGTGTACATAGAGAGGAAAACAATAAAACTGAGAGGAATTGCCTTGAAATGGGCCTAAAGCGGCACGAAAACAAAATTAACACTCAGAAGAATCGAAGTAAGTGGTTTTTATTCAATTTTTTTCCCATATTTCGAGCTGTTACATACGACTGTTACATTCCCATACAAACTCTTATATTTACGCAGTTACGCAATGTCATATAATAATGATCACTGCTCCCAGCTACCCAAGCAGCTTGGGATGACTGTGATGTCTGGAGCCAGATCCAGAAAGCTACTAATACAGGTGACAGTGAAACATGGGTCGTTCATTCCGCAGGTTACGCAGCGCACTAAATAAAATGCGACTTTACATGGTTCTATGGATTACCGTGTTGGTGTTTTGCATTGCACTATACGCTCTAGGATGGACTTATCTAACGGTTTGTTATTTCCCTAAAGGTATGGAACAATCAATATTTTTTATATACGTAATTAATAATTAGACATGGAATTCTGCGAATACAGCATAGTATATGCTGTATTCGCAATATTTGTTTATATATTTACCGCGTCCCCATTTAGCATAGTAGTGCTAAATACACTAGACACTTAAATAAAGTTATTTACTTATTTATATGAGTAATAACGAAGAGGCAAGATTTGCTGTTACTCCGAGTTTCGTGCTTNGTTATTTACTTATTTATAACTATTTATGTTCTCTATAGTTCCACGAATGAAAAATTCATCCTTAGATGCAAGCCTCTACGACAAGATGAAGATTTTTCTGCTCTTCATTGGCTATAACAGGAGTCGGCATACTTTGTTAGCTGCTCTCTTAGATGCACATCCAAATGTTATTATTGCTAACGACTTCAATATCCTTAAAGACTGGATTGAAAACCCTTTGTTGTCCCGGAGGTCAAAATATTACATCTACGAACTGCTACTTGCAAAATCTCGTTATGACGTCTTGTTTGGAGTACGCTCCCGTCCGGTGGGAAACAAGCCTGTTAAGTATCATTACAACGTCAAGGACCAATGGCAAGGCAGATACAATAATAGCATACAGGTGAGTCGGGCTGATACGAAATTTATCAAATGATTGCTAAGTCACCCGAAATGTTTGGCGTCCACTTGACTGATCAACATCAATGTAACTTTGAGCAACAGAACTGCTCAATTGATTGTCAAACACTTATTTGTTAAAAATGGTTTTTAGAGATAATCTGTGCGCACAGTGCGGTACTGTTGGAATACCGAAAACTTCCGAAAGTTACGATCCCCCGAAAGTAACGTCAAAAAATTGTGCTCGCTAATAAATTTCAAAAGTAGCGACCCTTCGGAAGTGGCGACAGCCCCCGAAAAAAGCGAGCCGACTCCAAACCCCAACCCCGAAAATGTCGAGAGCAAGGTTCGAAAGTATATTTACTTTTCCTATCAGTAGTCAAGTGAATAGTCGGTTTTATAACAACAGAAATTTTTCTTTAAATTAAAACTGAAATCTCTGTGTCATTTGTTTTGGCTCAAAACACGGCTTTCGGTAATCAAGCGTCACATTAGCATCGTCGGAATGGTCTTCCCTCTGGTGACACTGAGCAGTACAAGAAGTTCTGATATAGTCGAGTTTTCGGTTTCTACACATTCGCTATGAAAGTTCATCCGAAAGTTTAATTAGTGGATGAGATGTCTGACAACTTCTACTGCTCAATATATTTATATATTTCTCATTTTTCTTAGTTAGAGTAAATATTGTGACCATCACAAAAGTCCATCATGTACTAGTTTTCAACGGTCACTATTTATATACTTCAAATGAAGTTGCTATTTTTTGATTTTTATCTTATTATTTCGTGGCCTACCTGGAAACCTAGCTCCTAGCTAAGCGTGCTGATTGCGTTAAATAAAGGATTGATTGACTGATTTATTTACAATAAGAAGTATGAAGAAGCGAAAAGTTCAAGCACCTCAGACCAGGATCAAGGGGGAGGTACTCCCTTATATGGACTCTATAGTTATGTGCGACCCTAAAAGGAATGTTTTTTTTTATCCGTTTTGGTCATGAATAGGGTATCAATTTTGGCCATTTTGGTCTCAAATAGGGAATAGCAGTAGTAATAGTTTTTGCACTCTAGTCTTGAATTCGGTTTGTTTTCTAGAAGAAGCTACTTTTCATCATTATAGATAACACCATCACCAAAAGCCCCTCATAATGCCTTTAACATCGGTCTGAACTAGGCAACTAATTATGAGGCAGGTCTGAAACAAGGTATTGATGTAAGGTTCAGGTCTTAAATAGGGTATCATGTTTTTGGTCCGGTCATGATTTCTGAAAATGCACGTTCTAAACAAACACATACCGAATACAACCGACCAATCCTAATCATCCAATTCTTTCCTGCAGGTGATTGGAGATAAGAAAGCTGCCCAAGCCTCGAGGATTTTGTTCGACCCAAATGCCGTGGAATCTCTCAAGGAACTTGAGATAAAACTTGGTGTGCAAATCAAGTTCATTCACGAAACGAGGAATCCGTTTGACAACATCGCAACCATGACTCTACGACGAGCAAATGCGGATAAAATAGGACAAGAAAGCCTTAAGGTCAGTTGCTGACATGGCTAAAGCTTTTTACAAAAAACGTTAAGCTTCTACCAACCAATCGTGCTCTTGACTGGCGCCCGCCACAGTTGCAGGATGAATTCAAGTTCTGAACCATTCTAATTGGCCAGACGTGGTAACTTTTTTTACGGCTATGAGATGAGGAATAATTTTAGTTGTTAGCCAATCGTAATTCATACTTTTCAAGAAATTGACATTGTGCCCCGAAAGACTTACATAACGAAGGAAAACGCCAAGCAATTGCACCCTCGACTAAATCTTTTTTTCCCTGGAATCTTTGCATGTTTACAGTTACAAGGAACGCAATCTGGGCTATGAAAGAGAGCAGGGAGATGTAGAGGTGACAGCGTTCCCCTCCCCCCCACCCCTAGTGTGGCCCGGGTTCGATTCTGGCCCTGTGCCATATGTGGGTTGAGTTTGCTGTTGGTTCTCGCCTTGCTTCAAGGGTTTTTCCCTGGGTACTCAAGTTTTTCTCACTCCACAAAAACCAACATGTACAACTTCCAATTCGTACAAGATAGGGGACCCACATGGAAACCAGCTTCTGAGGCTTCCTCTTTAAATATTTCAAGTTATTTATAAACACGTTCAACCAGTACTTGTTATTCTAGCATTCTTTTTTCCAACTCTTGTTTAGGTGAATTCTTCACTTATACTGGATGGTAGCATAAGTAGTTATAGACTACTCGTTCGAGGAAGTTATCAAGTAAAGAAACATTTCCCAGGCCGTGTTCATGACGTGGCAAGCATGGATGTGATGACGAATACCCGGGAAACATTATTGAAGATTTGTGACTTCCTGGAGGTCACGTGCTCGGAAAAATATCTTCAAGACTGCGCTTCAATTGTCAGCCCAGTCCCCTCTGAGACAAGGAATAATGTTGTGTGGACCGATAACCAGATCAAACGAGTTCAGCAGTTGATAAAAAAATTTTCATTTCTTAGACGATACTCATTAGAAAGTTAGAATATAAAAACCGCCAAAAGCTGGCCATGGAGTACTTGCCCATATTTGAAGTAAGCCGTGTACGTGGAAATGAACTTAAACTGAAAGTTATCACTTGTGATTAAAGTTTAAAAAATTAGTTTTTCCCTTTAATAATGTGGGTTAAAATTGCATCAGGGACGGTCGAGTGACGCGTGCTCCTCACACACCAGTGTCCCTGGCCTTTCGCAGGTTTTTTTGGTATTTTGTTTATATTGTCTAATACTTCACAAGGAAAAAATATTGAGACAGAGGCTGAAGTTACAAAGATTACATGGAGGGTCTACTGGGAAAGTTTGTTTCTTCTTTAAGGTGTCGCTAAGTAGACGTTCCACTGCATGGTGTTTCGTTATTCAGTGGTATATGTGAGATATATATTACAGTGATCGGTGGACGCATTCTCCACCCCACCACACCAGGATAAAGATAAGATAAGATAAGAACTTTATTAACGTGTCGAAGTCGCTGACATACAATGTATACTAAATTATTATATCAATACATTTTCGCTTTGGGTTCCCTTTTACTTGGGAGTAGAAATGTTTATGAAAGTTTAGAGTAAAGGATCAAACTAATAGAGTGGAGAAAAGATTATATTTAAAACTTGTCTGTTGTCCAGACCTTTAAGTAGAATATGCCTGTCGATAGCATTGCCGATCTGTCTGAAGAGCGAATGAGTCAAGATAACGAAAGAGGACAAAGGTTGATTAGATTACACCTACAATGATATATGTAAGCACGATGACAGACATGATAAACGGACTGTAATTATTACAAGCGATGGATAATTAACTGAGTATAATTATGCAAGCAGTGATATATAATATAGCCACCTTAGGAGCTTGACTATTCCTAGTAAATCATGTTTGGTGGTAGGATTAGTCATATACAGTAAATACGCCGGTAGGTCCGGGTGAACCGCCAATTGGCTTCCTCTTGCAAATGAAGAATAAATATAATAATGAAAAAACTAAATAAATGTCCTTATTGACCACTTCTCAAAGGGGCTTTTCAGGGTTAATATCAAAGAATTTTGAAACAAATAATACAGGGAAGCATTACAAGAAATGCTTCTTGTACGGCTATCGTAAAATTTCACAAGCAGGGCTTTTCCGAGGGGAGGATAGATAGACAGATTGATAATTTTTCTTAAACACGGAAAAGGCCGATTTATAATATCAAGCACTAACTATCTAATTGAGTAATAAACTACATCATAAACAAACAAAATTAAGGTAATAAAAGCTGCTTTACAAGGATGCCGTGTACAACTTCCATCAAGAACTGTGACAAGCTGTTCCGCAACTCGGCACGGCTGTACAAAAAAGATTTCTTCAAATGATCAGTGAGGGATTGTGGAGGCGTTAGTTTATTTACGTCAAGAGGTCGGGCAACACTAAATTAGCCCCTAGGTATTTTGGAGTCATCCCATGTAAAGTTTTGTACATCATCGTTGATTTCTTTTCTTATCTTTCATGAGTGAGGTTTCGCCATCCTAAAGACCAGCACACATCATCGGACATAAAAATAAGGCCTCCATGGTACTGAAGTTTATGAACCTTTTCAGCGAGACCTTTGTTACAGTTGCCCCTAACAAGATTGCAGTAATCGAAGCGGAGTTAAACTAAACTGTTACATACATTGATCATTCTATTAAAAGGTACTACATTAGGTATTCGTTTAATGAGGAGGATTAACTAGAGAAAATTTTGCATTTCAAAAAATGCTGAGTTTAAAACTAGATAAATAAAAAAAAATAACAACAACAGTAATAATGATACTTATTATGATAATGATAACAATAATATAATAATTTTTCACGCAAAAGCTCACAGGTTATGCTACGGGTCCTGTGTTGCTATGTCCTGTATAGAAGTTTTTTAACTGCTGCCTAATAAGGTTGACGCCATCGCTAATTTCATCTTGGTGGACAGCGTCCTCGTTTTTTTTAAAGGAAAAGAGTAAGTGTAGCGAGGGACTGGGCTGAGGAACTCGTGAACCGAGAGGAAGGGCTGATGTACTTCCCTAACCAGTATTCAAGAGAGCATTGAGAGTTGAAAACAGTTCCGTAACAGTACGCACAAGTCAGGGTGACAAGTCTAGAGATTCATAGAGGTCACTGTTACAACAATAAGTTTATCCTTGGATTAGCGGGCGGGAGGGAGGGGGGAGGGGCGTCATTTAACAGATTTAAGAGGAAGACAAGATCTCAGCTTATTTACAGTGTTTAAATTGGGAGGGACTCGTTTAACGACTTTTTTTTGACAGCATCTGGATCTGGTAGAAGGTCGAAAGCTTGCTTTCCTTGAACGCTGTGACTCAACGGCGGTCGATTAGGTTGATCTTAACTGGTTTATCAGGAACCATAACGATCTTTTGGTACATCTCAAGTGGATCATGGCGATACTCTAACCGAAACCGCTGAAGTAACTATAAGTAAAGGAGAAAGTAGTGTCAATTCCTTTAACATATCAAAATGTAAGAAAAGATTTCTTGGCTTTAAATACATTGAAAGCAAGAAAAACGCACCTTGCAAACAAACAAGTACATTTCTAGCTCTGCCAAACGACGTCCTGCAATAAAATATGAACAAACCGTTTTACACAGTTAAACCAGTTGAAAACCTGCTTGCAGTAATCACTTTTTGTTAGTAATGTTAATTTGGGCTACTGGTGGAATTATTTTGGATAAGGAAATAGTGTAAAATTCCAGTTTAATTTTAGCCACCCCCTCCCTAAACTTAAAAACTTCACTGGGGTAGCTGGAGGTTTCGCATCCAAGCAAGTTCGCGCCCACATCGATTCAACTAGTTATAGGGATAAGTTTATCTTTAGATGTAAACCATACTTACCAAGGCACATACGGGATCCAAATCCAAAAGGGACACTAGAAAATGGGTGGCTTTCATCTTTGTTTTCTCGAAGCCAACGCTCTGGTTTGAACTCAAGAGGATCTTGGAAGTACTTTTCAGAGCGCGCAATACAATAATTTTCTAAAATTACGAAGGTCTGAAAAATAAAATTTAAAGTACTGTTAATCCATTTACAGTATACATCAAGGAAACAACCTAAAATCGAAGAAATTAAATGTTTGTAAAAACTAGTCGGTTATTAGTTGGGGACTTTAATGCTTTTACAGGCATAGATGTGCTTCAGGAAGTCAGGAAAATACTTTTGTGTTCTTGTACAAATTACTCAAAATTTCAAACCCTAAATGTACATCAGTACAATTGATCAATATTCCAAACTTTTTTGAACGGCAAGGAACAGGATAGATTAATGGTTCTTGACTATTGAGTCTGGACTATCTTGACGATAAAAAGACTCACCTTTGCGGGAACATTATATCCCTGTAACACAATATCCTTGTCCAATATCCGAGCATTGCTTGGGAGAACAGGGTTTAACCTTCAGAGACAATCGAATAATACTAAGTACTATCAATTTTTTTCTATTTAATGTCTCTCCCCCCTCCACTTCTGCATTTGATTCAAACTTGGCCTGGTGTACCTAGTGCCAATAGACCATTTTACAGTTGTCTGCTCAGTGACCTGGCCTTTGTATGGCAGCGAGGCTAGAGTTGACCTTGTTTTGATACAGACCTCTCTGCTTTTGTTGTGTAAAACAAGTTGTTCTGATGCTAACTAGGTGCATTTACATGACAAAAGCAGTGAGGTCTGTATCAAAACAAGGTCAACTCTAGCCTCGCTGCCATACAAAGACCAGGTCACTGAGCAGACAACTGTAAAATGGTCTATTGGCTTCTGTAGTTTATTCAATCACAGCGTTTAAGTAAGGGATTCAATAATGATAACAATAACAATAGCAATAAAAATAACAATAAAATAATACATGTAATAATAATGATAATGATAATAATAACAATTTTATTAACAGTATCTCTATGAGGTGGGTATGTCTTGCTAAATTTAAAAGGATTATAATGAAATACTAATAAGTAGTTTTTTCAAAACACATTTTAGGATAAAAACTAGAGATAAAATCAGACGATCATTTTCAAGTTTAAAAAGTGATATAAATTTTTTTGCATATATGAGTAGTAAGACGTGAGAATTTGAAAAGCAATTAAACTATGTGAATAGGCACTTTGTGTTACAAAACATAAGTCATAAAAACTAAAATACATTTAGGCTAGATAAGACAATAGGACAAAAATTACAAAAGATGCAATACCTGGTAAGTGTGATATATAAAATACACTTCGCTATAAAAATAATTTTGTGCAGATGGGGTCCAACTGCTTGTTCAAAGTTGGCCTCCATAAGATCTTTTAAGATCGATGTCACTTGGGTTCCTCCCATGTTGCTCTCTGACATGTTTCCCGATTGCAGACCCCTTATGTTCCTCAATACGTTGATACAGGTGTCGGCATCTGTAGCCGACATAATCTGCATTGCACAGATTACACTTGAAATGGTATACAATGCATTGTTGATTCATGAATGAATCTTTGAATGAAGACTAATTAGAATTTTACTGTACATCAGCTAATGGAACTGACATGTCACCTCAAAGACTCCTTGACACAAGCCTTGAGATAAGACAGTTTTGCCAGACTCTGAGATGTAACATCTTCTTCTTTTCCTACTACATTCTCAATTTCCTGGTAGAGTTTTTCTTGCACATGAGGATTACGTCCCAAATTATACATCAGCCACAGAAGAGAATTTGCGGTCTACATTATTGAAAAGGAGAGAAAATAATCAAATGATCAGTTGAAAATGTTGATATATAATAATGTGAGGGCTGACTTATCATTGGTTGAGATTGCTGAAGCAATAAGTTTTTGTTTTCTGCATCGCCATGTGTTAGTTTTGTTCCATTTTCATTCATTGCTACGTGAACAGTTGTTTGATTAAATAGTGCTAAAATCAGTGGACTTGTGGTTATATAAACAGATCATTTTATCAGATTATTGGGCCCAGGACGTGGAGCTGTTGTTATTTAAGGCTGTAATTGCTGTGGAACAGGACATCGATGTCCAAAACTACAAGTATAAAGAATGAGAAACTGAACAAGAAGAATTTCTATTCATGGAATACAACATAAAGTTTGTTTTACTGTTCAGCAAAGACCTAGTAGTGCTGATACTCTCCCAGCATCAATTGCCCTCAAACTTGGTTATTAAGATGTCTGTACATATACTTACGGTATCAACACCAGCACCTACTACGTCTAACACCACACCAACAACCTCTTCAGGAGTCAGTTCCTTCTTGGTGAGCAAGTATGTTAACATTGAAACAACTGTATGTAAATGTGAGAGAGAAAATAAAATACACAATTTGATTAACGTTAATTTATTTCAAGAGTGAAATGCACAAAGAGGAGTGCCATGGGTGTACATTACAGTTAGCATTCCCAAATAACCACAACATCTTTTTTTTATTATTACAAGGCCTTAATAATGGATTGCCCAGGCAGCAAGTATATTAAGCAAAGTTCCCCCAGACATGTTGGTCAAAGACTATGAAGCCAACATACATTGTTCTGGTAATTGCATAGCTAGCTTGTCCCAAAGGAAGGTTCAAAAGTTGAAACTTACGATTACTATTTATTTCCTTCTAAAGGTTTGACTACATGTCGTTTACATTTTGTCAGACATTTTCACTCTTCCGAGAGAAGATATGATAATTCTACCAAATTTGGTCTATATGTTTTAATTGATTATTATGAGAGAACTATACTAATGTAAAACAATTAAAAATAATAATAAAAAATACTATTTATCAAATTGTCACATTTCATTTTAGCTGAATGCTGAGAAGTCATTTCAACTAACTGTGGAAACCTATTTGTAATTTTTACTCAAGAGTTACCTTGTTCATGTTCGATATGTTTGAAGAGTTGCTTGCTAGATTTGTTCCCACTCAAAAGATGCCATTACAACTTTTTACATTTAATTTCATCAATTGTATACATATAGCAAATGCAGTAACCTTTTGCTCCTAGATTTTGTGACCTTATTTATTTAACTATTTCTTATTTTTTCATTGGTTGTAAACTGTGCATTGAACAGCATTAAAATTATGCACCCAAAAACAATATTACAATAATTATTATCACAACTTGCCAAACACTAACAGTAACTCTAGACTGTGAGCAGTCTCTCTTTTCCTTGAAAATCCGTGGGGAAGAACGCAAAACAAGTAAGTATGCGAGCGTGGCTGTGAGCATGACGCGGCGATGTTGTGAGCTGCTGGTAGTGTGGGCATTGGAAGACGACCAAGAAGAGAGACTGCACTGGTTGCATACAATGATTTGGATGCACGGCACTCTGGTCAGTCTACGAAGTTATGATGCACATCTGTCAGTACTCTTTATAAGTGACATGCAGGGCACGCCAAAACTCTGTTATAAATGTTTGTCTCCTACAGTGCGACTCCTATGGTTCGTGACATTTGCTGCTCTATTTTGAATTTCGCTCTTGCGACCTTTTTTTAGTAGTAATACTTCACCCTTGTTTTTGAAGGACTGTAGTATCAGGAGGACTTTAAAGTAGTGTAGAGCTTCCTGTTGGCCTGGTTTCAGCTGCAATCTGTGAAACCATTCATCACATCTTACGGGATCGATATAGCTTCGATAGATTCGTCTAAAAAATTAGACACTATAGTGTCATATTCAAAACAGGGTGGAGGTGTCATTGATGCGACCTGTCAAAGTAGCAACTGAATTGTTGTATGAAACCAGTCTCTTTTTTTGCTTGTCTTCCCATGCCCGTGCCACTAGCGGCTCGTGGCGTCACCAATCGCACATCACACTCACAGTCATGCTCGCATGCTTACTTGTTTTGCATTCTTCCCCACAGTTTTTGAGGAAAAGAGAGACTGCTTGCAGTCTACAGTAACTCATGCACTATGAGTGTCAGCCACACAGACTGAGATGAGAGCCTATGGTTATTTCAGAAGTTATTCTCAAGACTGTAATATAATAATATACGACACAACAAAAAATTCTACATACAGTGTATCAGATAATGTTAATAACTATTAATACCTTGGGTGTTGCCAGAGGGATCAATTCCCCTGTCCGCCATTTCTTTCAGCTCCCTCATCCTCTTGTCAATAAAACCCTCTCCAATTTCTATGAGAATATCACCAGTCTTGAAGAATTTCTTCAGTTTTGGTGTATCAATATCAAAATGCTTGGCAATTCTCCTTGATAAGCTAAAAAACAGCTCATGACTGAGTGAAAAAAAATCACGAACACCTTGGATGAATCTCATGGCTTCTTCTTTGGGAGGATCTTCATATAACCCAAGACGAGCATCAAATGCCACTGTTCCCACACCTTAAAAAAAATTACAAATTTATCATTAATAATGCTTTTGAAATACTTAACAATTAAGTAAGTTAAAAACTAACGATATAACATCCTGACGTCAAGGAATAAATAAATGAGAGTGAGTTCAAAAGAGGTAAGACCTGTAGATTTACATATTAAATGAAATCTTTGTCTAACTACAGGTCTTACCTGTATACAACACGCTCTCATTTATTCATTCCTAATAACGGCATCATGAGGTTGCTGAAACATCGGGACATTATATTGTTAGTTTTTACTTGCTTATGCAAATTTATAAATACATGTATTAACTGTGAAATGAAAAAAAGTTGAAAAATGATATTCATTACTGGATGTACCGCAAACTTTTAAGGTATAAAAAATATAAATAAAAAGTTTTGACTTGTGAAATACTTGTATTCAGTCTATTTGTTAAAACTTTCTACTGAATAATCAAATGATCTTTGTTAATTTGGAAAGAAGACAGGAAAGTATCAATCATATATGTGGGGGCCATTGTCTTGATTGATACATCAACAAGATAAAACAAAATTATGAATACAATTATTGGTGTTTTAAAGACATACTTTCTGTGGCCCATCTACTCAGCTCGCCTTCCAAGTCAGGAATATGATTATCTGGTCCACATGCTTCCTTTAGTTTAACCAGACTTGTAATTGCATCCTTGGTTACGGCATTAAAGTTATCAATGTTTTCCTCTACAATCTTTGGACGTAATATTTTAGGGGACACACTGTATCGTACTCTGTGCCATTCTTCTCCTTCCCTAAAAGATTTACAAACAGATTACAGTCAAACCTCTTTTAAGCAGCCACCTATCAAGCAGTTTCCCCTTTTCCCCTTCCTCTCTTACCCCTTTTAAGCAGCCACTCAAAGTTTGGCTTTATTTTTTGAAAAGACAATGGCAGATAAGAGAATTTGATGACTGATAAAAACATTCAAACACACATTTATTATGACTGTCTTGAATGAGATGTGATTCTATATTCACTAAGCTATAACCCAATCTAAAAAATACCCAAAGTACAAGAACCCCTTTTAAAGGACCAACCCGTATTAAGCTTGACCACCATCCATTTTTCTTTGAGGTTGGCCACTTAATAGGGGTTCAACTGTATCATAAATCAATGTTTTTAAATGTCGTGTTGTTTTCACTTCTTTTTTTTGTAGGGCAGAGGAGCCACCTCTCTACAACAGCCACTTTCTTTTGTCCTGCTGGATGGTCCAAACATTCACTCTTTCTTAACCTGTTTACAATGGCCACTGCTCCATAACGGTTCACCCACTAACATCCATCTAAACTGCCAAAATAACTTACCAACGTTGGCCAGTTAATCAAAGACTGGTGAATAGTGTATACAAAAAGTTGTGAAGAAATAAGTGAAAAGTTAGCTCAGCCAGAGTAAATCAAGGGGAGGGTTGTCTTGGGTACCTGAGACCATATAAACAGGCCCTGAGTCACATTTTGCCACCGTTTCACAATCCCCCACCCCTTCCCCACGCTGGGTGACGCGGGGGTTATATGAGCGCGTGTGCGTCTGTCTCCCACCAAAACAAGTGGGTGATATAGTCATACTCCCAATTAGTATCACCCAACTAGTGGACTAATGCAAATCCTGCATTTTAATTGGCTACGCTACTAGAGGTCTATTAGTAATAGTCCTCGAGTAGTGAAATTGGCGCAATCGAGCGTGACGCTCTCTTTCGTTTTATTCCCAGATAAATATTTCTTCAACTTGCATTTGCTAACTTTATTATTGTCTTTTCTGTCCGACTAGTTGGGTGATACTAAAACAATTAGACCCTTCGCCCTCAATGGCCACGGTTCAATAGCCCATAAGGCTTCGCCTCATGGGCTATTGACCCGTAGCCCTTGCGGGCTACGGGTCTAATTGTTGAATAACAAAACGCTCAATTCTGGTGATACGCTGTCACTAAAAAAATATGATTGTGTTACTTACAAGAGTACCATGCCAGGGAAATAATTCCTCCGTTGACGATGCTCGAGCCAAAAATCTATTATTGGTCTTGAAGGGTATTTTCCTTCTGCACGAAGAACCATTTCGTGATCACAAGGATCAATGACATGCAGTGCTGGAATCCCGAAAGTCATGTTCTCCTTGAAAATAGGACCATATCTCTCAAACAGTAGATCATACACTTTGTATGCTTTTGTAAAACGTTCGGATTTAACGAAAAACTCTGCGAACGACTTCAAGCTTTTCCGAGGTCCAGGGATGTCTTCGAAGGGGCGCACAGAAATATTTTCCGTTTCTGATTTTGCTGAGCCAGGAGTATGGCTTTCATCCTCCGGCCGGATCGCTTTGGTTTTCTGGGATCTCAGAAAAACTGCTAAGGGTTTTAAATGTTGGGATCTTGGAAGATACCTTCTAAAAGTGATGCTCGAGAAGGCATACATGTTTCCGATTTGCTGCACCCGGCGCTGCACCCTGGATAGCATTTATTTGGGTCACGAAATACCTTCGACGGCCGATGGCCTGGCCTCCAAGCTACGCTCCAGTCTCTTATCGCCACTTTCCAAGATGGCGAACGTGCATGTCCTCCTCTTTCTTTTATATTTCGGTCAAGGTTTACCGTATGGTTTCCAAGTCAGGCTGCTTCCATTACTTCTGCGGCAAGAAAAATTTTCCCTGTCAAAAGTAGGGCTTAGTCGCCTGCTAAGTTTACCATGGATATTTAAATTCTCGGTAGCACCCTTAATAGACAGTCTGTGGTCTTTAAATTCTTGGATAATATTTGGCTCGATCGCGATGTCATTACTTTGCTTCATATCAGCTTTTGTGGGAATAACTAGTACCATGATTCTTCTTTTCTGTGTCTTCTGGATGAATTTAACGTCTGCTCTGCAAGATGTGGCGGTGGATGCGTTTGCCATTAGTCTACTTAAGCCATCGGAGCTTGGTGAGAAATTCTTATTAAATGTCTAACGACAACTCATTGAAATGGATCTTCATCTACATAGTTATGAGTGGACTTGAATAATCCATTATTTTGTTGTATATTTTTCAGGTATAGGAAGTACACTGCAAGTGGTTGGTTATAAAGTGGGTGCTCTGTTTGGTGGAGGTCTCCTTGCGTGGCTTAGTGTCTACTGCAGTTGGGAATGGCTATTTACCCTTTGGGGTTTCTTTTACATTGCCACCTTAATTGTTGTGTTGCTTAACAAGAACACCGAATCCTGTACACAACATAACAAAAGAGAGGACGTAACATACAGAGACCGCACTAAAGAAAGTATTCATGATCTGGGTGTATCAACCAACTCCAAGCATGGGGAAAACAGCAGTGTGAATCAAATTCCAATTTCAAATGATTACACATGTAAAACCGGCAAGCTAAGTGTCAAGCACATTGTGGAAACAATTTTCAAAACGTCTGATTTCTTATGGCTTGTATGCTGTGTCTTAACATACAAGCTTGGCGAACAAGGTGTTGTTAGCATGCTTCCTTTATATCTGATAGATCAAGGAATCCCCCAGGATCAAGTGGGAGTGATATTTGGAATATTTGGTCAAGTATTCTCAATTACTGGGTCCACACTAGGAGGCTGGATTGTTGGTTTGCATCATGGACAAAGGTGATTACATTACATTTTTTATTTCTAAGTCCTCTCTGACTGGCTTAAAAGCTATGCTATTACAAAGTTAAGAACATACATGTATAAAATAAAATGAAGGTCTAGCATTTTCTGTGCATCTAAATTATAAACTTAAAAACATTTAGAGAAACTTAAGCCATGCATTATAGTATCATAAAACATTCCAGTTATTTGAGCAGACTTGAGAAATGATTTTAGCTTTTCTGATCAACATCTAATTTTTCTTGAAATCGCATAATTAATTAGTTTCCCTTGACAATGGCGCCAAGATGTCGCCGAAACGTCGGATTTATCTATCGTTAGTTTTTGCCTGTATAAAATTATCAACACAGCGATAAAAAGACACGCATACAATAAGAAAACAAAGTCAATAAGTGTCCTACACGCATGTGAAAATTTCAAGAATTAGCAGGTTTTCCTCAGCGACCTAGCAAAGCATTTCTCACAGTCCATAACAATTATTGTCTTGTCAATCAGTCTAACTTCCACACCCAACATAAGCTTTGTAAATATGTTCTCCTTTGGACTGATAATACATGTACCAATGTCCCGCTGTACTCGATACATTAATTTCATTTTGAATTCAATGTTTTTTTTTTTTCACACATAGATCATGGGTGATTAAGGTACTACTGTGGACGTCATTTGCAAGACTCATTCCTCTTGCTTCAGTATGGATATTATCTCTAACAACATTAACTAAGTCTTCAGTTATAATTCTTGAGTGCTTCATTCAATTAACGGGTGGTACAGTTACCACAGCAACATTCACACTTATGATGCTAAGTTCTCAGAGTTCTTCTCCGGGTATCAGAGCAACACATGGTGCTATTCTTGCTACTGCAGAAGTACTGGGAAAATTGTCAATGATCTCACTGTCTGGGATACTGGTGGACAATATTGGCTATCACTTTTTTTTTGGATTTTGTACTGTTTTGGCATTGTTAGCGATTCCTGTTTTACAGCCTGGCCTTATTTCTCCAAGTAAAAAGACCTTGTAACAACGAGGTTCAAAATGCTGAGTCATTCTCTAGAAGCAACAATTTTGACCCCCTTTTATCAGAATGAAAATTTCCTGCCTAACGGTAATGAGATTTCCATTGTAAGATATCATCCAATTAACACCTCAATCAAGCAATAAAATACATAATTGTTGCACCTTTGATGTTTGGATTGTGTGTATGGTAGACTTAACAAGAGGGTTCTAACAACTCGGAAACAATTTGATAGACGGATTTTGTAATCACTCACTCATTAAATATCAGTGGCAGAAGGTCCTATAGCCTGCAGGGATTGTAGCTGTGATGTCTGTTGGCTCTATTTTAAATGAAATAGCAAAGATTGATTGATTGAAAGAAATGATGTACATGTACCTGGAGGAAACAGCCTATTTTGAAACTGGGTAGCAAAAGCTATTAACTCCCACCAACTTATAAAATACATGTAATGCTTTGTATCAGAAAAAATATTTGAATGCTGCATACATGTACTTTTTTAAGACTAAGACTTCTTTAGAAAAGTTTTCAAAAAATGATCCTCTGATTGCTCTAGTATTTCAAAATCCAGCTCAAATCAGTTATATTCCATAGAGAGCTGCAGTATTCTCTCTTGCTGCTTCAAGGACTACATCTAAAGGAATACCCTTAATTTCTGCAATTCTCTGAGCAGTAAATATTGCCATTCCAGGGTTACTAAACTTGTTACGTTTATCAGCTACTTGTGATGGAACAAAATATGGAGCATCAGTCTCTAACAGCAGTCTGTCTAATGGCACATCAAATGCAAGTTCGTGGATATTTGTAGCTTTCGCAAAAGTAACCACTGCTGTCATTCCTATAAAGAGATTTGGAAATTCTTGGCAGAATTTTGTCGCAAATACACTTGAACCAGTGTAACAATGCATGTGAATTTTCCAATCTTGTGGTACACAGGATTGGAGAATTTGTAGTGTATCAGTTTCAGCCTCCCGACAATGAACTACCAAGGGTTTGTTTAACGTCACAGCCCAGTTCGCTTGCTTAGTAAACACTTCTTTTTGAATTTCAGGGGGAGAAGTACAATGCGAGGAGTAGTCAAGTCCCACTTCCCCCAGTGCAATAGCTTTGGGATGTTCCAAACATTGAATGATGTTAGCTTCTAACACATCATTGTAATACTTTGCATTGTGTGGGTGACATCCAAATGTCCCCCATACCCCCTGCTCCGACAGGACATCACGCCAAGTGCCAAATGATGAAAATGCTGCTGGATCACAGAACGTTGTAATACAGCCCTCAAAATTTGGAGGGAAAGGAAATCTTGTTTGGAATTCTGAGAAACTTCCAGAGTGTCTTAGTCTTTCAAAGACGTACTCTAAATGGCAGTGAGTGTCAATAAACATTGACTTGCTGTCTGGAAAGGGCATCTCCAAGTGCCGTTTACTTGAAGAGTGTTTTAATTGCCCGGCAGAAGTGTCAGCTCCACTTCCTGTGGCCATGTTTGGACAATCTCTCTGAAAATGTCCATGTCTTCCGCAAGCAAAACATTTCAAACCTTGCAAACTCGTATTTGCTTTTTCTGGACAATCTCGTTTCAAGTGGCCCATCTTTCCACATTTAAAGCATTTCTTGCCATCCATCATACAACTGACAAACACAGTTCAAACTCGTATGCAACAAACAAACAAAATTCATGAACTTCATGCAAAGATGAAAACTTCGATTCTGGCGTTGTACTGAGAGACCTGGACACAAGTCTGGAGACAGCGATTTGCTGTCCAGCGGCAGCGCCGGACATGACAGAGTGGTTACTCAGTTTTTTCGCGCATTCTAAGATGGCGGCAACTTTGGAATCGTATGTTAATCGTATCCTTTTACTATTGTTTCGGTTTGAAAAGAGAAAATTTTATACATTTAACTCGTTCATTTCAGATAAGTAGTACTTGTTTATCAATGCAGCTCGTTAGTATATAAATCAGTGTGCTTCAGATTGTTTTGATCCATGTTTTCCTTGTTTGTTTGCACGTTTTATTGTTCCGTTTTCAGAGCACGTTCATGTTCTTGTTTGAATTGTATATTTTACCTTTCAATCGATTCACAAGGAGTGATTTTCTAAGTAGTCTTCGTGCCCATTTATGCATGGCTATGATACCTTGATGCCAGCATGTAGAAACAATTTAATGAATTCTTAACTCTGGAGTTCAGACACAGTAGCAGTCATCACTCAGGATGGCAGAATGATTGTGGTAAGCTCATAAACCTTTTTTAGGCTGAGGGATTGCTAGAAATTTAATGCGGCAAGGATCCTCTAGCCTTGGGGAGTTGGTAAATTTTTCTTGAGCAATTCAAGAAGTGTTTCCAGCTTCAGGTTGTGCAAGATTTTTTTTTTGAAGGGGGGGGGGGGGGGGGGGGGNCACCGGCCATTTTGGATTTTTGTTTGAGGAAAACTTAGCCCGTGTACGGCCGCCCCTTCCCCTCGAAAAAATTTGGGGAGAGGGAGAGTCTCTCTCTCCGATTATTTTGAGGGGGGGGGGGGGGGGGGGTTTCTTTTTGGCAGGGTGCTTTGCATGGCTTTCCCTCTCTATTTTTGCTGTGTTTAAATTTGTCTTGGTTAATTGAATGTACGAATGAATGAATGAAAGACTTTATTAAAGTGTCAATGGTATTTAGCTTGGAAAGAACTAATTGGGGACACTATTTACACGATAAAATATACCTTAGCTAAAGTTAAAACTATTTACAATTTAATGAATAACGTATAAAATAAATAAATTAATAAGTAAATGAAATATGAAAATATAAATAAAAGATATCAAAGATATTTAAAATATGAAATTTAAAGCAGCCTAGTGTAGCATATATCACAGTTCTTACAATTATCTATTAAGTGTGATAGGTCAAACTCTTAACATTAGGCTTCTCTCTGTCAGTTTTGTGTAATGTAATTGCCATTCCCCTCCCCTCAAAATACAATGGTCAATCCCTTGTCAGGCGATGAAAGCAAAGAAACTTTTTTGTTGAGACTTGACGTTATGAATGTATAAAAACCCACTACTAATTACATGTTAGCAGACATTTTAGAGTGTAGAACTGGTTTGGTGGGTGAAACTGGTAACAGAAACTGAAAAAAAAAAATGAAACTTTTTGTGATGACTATGACATTTATATTTTTGTATGTTTAATAATTTAGTTCTTCTTTCAAGTGAGGATGCTTTGGATACTTGTAGTGTAATAAATAAATGTTATCATACACAAAGTACTCACTCTGAAAAGAAAACCAGAAAGCTATCAATACATGAATTTTTGTTGTTGTTGTTTTTAGGGGACTCTCAAAGGCTTTGATCAAACAGTGAACTTAATTTTAGATGAGAGCCATGAAAGAGTGTTTTCTTCAGGAAGTGGAGTGGAACAAGTGATGCTGGGTCTTTACATTATCAGAGGAGACAATATGTAAGCTTCTTTTGATAGAGCCTGATTACAGTGTGTTATGTATGTGAATCCAGTGCTCACTGTCTTTGTGCTACAGTGTATCTTTCAATATAACTCTCTCAATCCTAGCATATTTCTGGGTGTTGGGATACTGTCGGGAAACATACATACATGTAAAAGTATTTAAAAAATTACAGCACATCACATATATGAATGAATTTTCAAGTCTAGACAAATTATTTTCTGGTTTTGCAATGTTTATATTCAGTACTTGTTGTGTATCAAGCTCTGGAATAATACCAATGGAAATGTAGTTCACATTAAATAAAGAGCATAAGTGAGCACTATGAATAAAAGATGACGATTGTTTAAAACTGACGTGACAGCTTTCTTATTACTTTGCTCTAAGGGAAGGTTTGGGAAAGGAATCACACGAGTCACATAAAAATCTGACGTTTGCGCGATCCTACTGTAAATTTTTAATATTGCACAGAGTATTCACTTAAGACTGTCAGGTAATAAAACTTTAGCAGAAGTCCATGAATTGCACAGTGTCAAATTGTAACCAAAATAATCTGGGTGCTTATCAAACTGATTTTGAACTCTGGGGTTGAGAAAGCAAAAAACCAAAGATAAGCAAACTGACACTTATCTAGCCACAAGGCTTTGTAGGGTCTCCTGCAGTCTGGAACAGACTGTGTGTCTTTCTTGTCTTGAAATGTTATTTAAAATTAATTTTCAGAGCTGTAATAGGAGAAATCGATGAAGAAGCAGATGCAAGCTTGGATCTGAGCAGCATACGTGCTGACCCACTCAATGCTGTGGTCTACTAATAATACAGGATGCAACTATGGTTGATTTGCTTTTCAACCTCTGACAGGATAAACTTTTTATTACCAACTTAGGAGCAATCAGCACTATTACTGAGTACGTTAATGACAAGTTTATTAAGTTTCACCAACCTGTCTTGTAAAGTTATGTAGGAGATTGTCAATTCACTGGAATCTCAAGATCTTGGTCAGTGGATTGGATACAACTGAGTCTGCAATACAATAATAATAGTTGTTGTTTTTTTTAAACAGAAAATGCTTTATGCTGTTGTCACTTGAATAGTACTTTTTGACAACTTTTGTTTATTTTCAAAACTTCTCAGCCAAACACAGCAAGTTTACCAAAGGGATTTTGATAACTTTTCATCACAGACTAAAGTTTATGATTGTCAAAAGGCTATGTGAAAACCTTCCTAAATGTTGTCAAAATAAGTAAATGCTTTTTAAAGGACAACAGGATATTGCGTATCACATTTTTTTTCACTTAAATTGTGTACTATACAGTAGCTTTTACATGTGTGCAATGTCACTAGACTGCAATGAACACAACTGTGCTGCCTTTCTTTCCCTAAGTTGGTCAGAAAGGAGCAAAAAATTGCTAGTGGGAAAATCGCTACAAGAAAATTGGAGGCACAAAGCCTAGTTTACAGTTATCATACAGCCATTTTTCCCACTCAGTTTTTCTCTGTTCCTTCTTGATCTTCTCTAATGAACCATAATGCTAGTGAAGTAAGAACTGCTCAAAAACTTTTGATGAAGTAGTAACTAGCAAGCATTTTAAATATACTGTGACTTTGATGTATATGTAATGTAAAAAAATTCCAAAAATAAGTGTATTCTGGTGCCCTTGTACATTTTCTCACTGTTTTGTGATCATTAAAGTTTCATTTTAAATTGTAATTGATTTATTACAGTGTGAATGATAAACAGCAACTACATAAACCTGTTGTAGTCAGTAGATTTATGCCTTCTAGTACACATAATTTTTCCTTGTATTGAAACATTACCAAGGCTTCTTAGCAGTACAAAGTAAGATATAGCTTTCCAAAACCACATGATGTGTTTGAAATTCATATTATATTATCAAAATATGTTTTGGATGAAACATCATCTATCTTCAGTTTACAAGAATTCCAATGGAAAATGAGCAATAAATAGCTTAAAAGTGTGTGGTGAAGATAAGAATAATTAAGGATTAAGGCGCAAAACAGAAAAAGGTGAAAATATAACACTAAAACAACACAAACTAATTTGAACGCTATATTATAACATAATAACTTATAATCAAATGTAAATTCTCCATATTAGAGTGTAATTCTGTAGCCAGTGTGCAGACTTCTCTAAGGAGAATTTGCAAGCTGGCATTAAATCTTCGTTTTTAGAAATGGCCAACACAGATAGGGAACGATTTGCCTTCCTCCCGGTGAGCCGGAAATTTGAATAAACTTGACGCTATACGGGCATATGTCCAAATAAATATTCAAGTCCCGGATGTAGACAGGTACTATATTTCCCTCCTAACTCCCCTGAATTACTCTCCTCCAGGGACGGCAGAGCCGGGGAGGTGGGGGACTTTAAACTCCCTACTTTTTATGAAGACGACGTTCTATTTTGTTTTAGTATGAATTAGGTATAAAAGTATATAAGAAGGCAGAGAACACGAAAAAAGTCTAACGGTATAACCGTATAAGATATAAGATATAATTGCCGAGCCGCTCTTACTGAACGGAAAAATCTCTACAATTTAGTTTCAAGCCCCTACAACTAAAACCTCTGCGTTATTCAGAATCAATCCTATGTAGGTTAAAATCAATGTTTCCGCACCTCGGTATCGGAAAACGACCTTTATTTTACTAACATTACAAAACCCTGAGACCAACTTGCTCGTCTTAATGCTTAGTCCTAAGGCTTAGTTTAGTTTCAAGTCGCTATAAATTAATAATAACCTCTGTGTTATTCAGAATCAGTCCTGTGTAGGTTAAAATCGGTGTTTCCGCACCTCGATATCGGCCTCTTTAAGTCTAAAACGACCTCTATTTTACTATCTAAGATTGCAAAAACTAACACCAACTTGCATGTCGTAATCTTTACTGAGCCGCTTTAACTGAAAGGCAAGGTGTTTGCAATTTAGTTTCAAGCCCCTAAAACTTAACAAAGAAACAAGCCTACGCAGGTTAAAATCAATGTTTCCCCACCTCGGTATGGTCCTCTTTAAATCTAAAACAACCTCTATTTTACTAAGATTACAAAACCCTAGACCAACTTGCTGGGAATATAAGCAGAAATGTCGCAACGAAGTTACAAGGCAGCGAAGATTGGCCATCAAAGGGTACTGAAAAAGGAAGACTGATGATTCAAGGGCGCAGCCAAATAAATTTTTTATACTTTTAAACCATTCTTGTCGCGTAAGAATGGTAAATTAAACTCTGAAATCAGTCTAAATGTACGTGGAAATGCTGTCAAGGATAATACCAGCATCGAGAGATCTTTGCTGATCATTTCGCAGCAATTGCGGATGGTATTGGGGGCATTCATGTCCAGCAATCACCACGGATGATGATTTTAGCAGTCATCCTAGCGTCCAGCGAAGAGCAGAGAGAAATGAAACCTCACCAATGGCCTTTCAGTTTGAGCCCATGAACAAGAAACAAGGGCAATCTGTGCCTGAATTTCTTAATGTCAAAAAAGGGCTGCTGGTTATGACTCCATTCCCGCCCAGGCGCTGAAGATTGGGGCTAAGGCGTTGGCCCTGTGCGAACAAGGTGTTTGAACAACTGATTAGTCGACAGATTAAAGCTGTGTTTGACAACCACGGCGTAGAGACCAGTGGCGGATCCAGACTTTGAGCTAAGGGAGCGGCCCGGTTTTGTTTTACTTGCCCTGCCGACTTTTCTTTCTTCAGTCATTTCTTCTTCCCGGGCCCCTTCCCTAGATCCGCCACTGGAGACGGCGTAGAGACAACCACGGAGACGGCGTATCTGCATATCGCAAACACCATAGCTGAGAAACTACCCTAATTGGACTTGTTGAGGACTGGAAAGCAGCGAAGGATAATCGTTAATCAGTTGGTATTCTATCAACAGATATGTCCAAGGTTTTTGATTGTCTCCATCCGCCACTCCTGCTAAACAAACTCAAGGCGTACTGCTTTCAAGATAATGCCATCAAACTCCTAGACAGTTATCTGCGTGATCGCCAAAACAAAGTAAGGTTTGGACTATGTACTAGTTCCTTGAAGAAGGTAGACGTGGCTGCCCTCAAGGATCCGTCCTGGGACCACGTTTATGGAACATTTCCCAGAACGATCTCATTTACAATGGAGAATCTGATTTGTCTATGTATGCAGACGATCACCAAATCTACGAAAAAGGGGAACATTTGCCTACTGTAGTTTCTGAACGTCAGGAGATGAGCTCCTGTAACAACTCACTAGGACGACTCGAATTTCCTTGAAGGTGATCCAAAAAAATACCAGATTATGAACATTTGTAACAAAGGTGCAAATAAGGATAATGACCTTCACAATATTGCTGTTTCGAGTACTGTAATTGAGAAATCTGTTTGACCTAATTTTTTAGGTGTGACTGTAACCTCAACTTCTCCAATCATATTGTAGTAGAATTTGTGTGAAAGCCAGCCAGAGGATTGGAGTCACAATGAGGTCGAGGAATTTAATTTCTACTAAGGCAAAGCTACCACTTTATAAGTCAGCTATTCTTCCCTATCTAACGTACTGCTACTTAGCTCTCCTGGATGATGAATGCCGTAGCTGCGATCTATGCAATAATTAATTAATTAGGCTTTTTTAAATGCTTTAGGAGTTTTTAAATTATTATTAGGTTTTGTAACTTGTAAACAGACCAATTTTTAAATTATTCTTAGATTTTGTAATTTCTTTTTAGGAAGGTTTTCTCTATTAGCAGAGGGTTATACCTCGACTAAAAAACAATAGGCCCTTTGCACGATCCGGTCACATGGTACAAATTCACACATGCTAGTGAGCAAGTTCCGCAGTGGGACTTCCAAAACAAAGGTAGGTCCAGGTGGAGTGGTACGAGTTGCATTGTTTTGGAAGTCCCACTGTGCAACTTGCTCACCAGCATGTGTGATTTTGTACCGTGTGACCGGATCGTGCAAAGGGCCTATTCGAAAATTATCATCATCATCATCATCATCATCATCATCATCATCATCATCATCATCATTGTTGTCATTGTCGATTCGTAATTTTTACCGAGCCGCCCTAACTGGAAGGAAAAGTCTTTGCAATTTAGTTTCAATCAAATAAAACTCAAAAATAAACTCTGGGTTGTTCAGAACCAAGCCTAGGTAGGTTAAAAGTGAATGTCTCCGAACTACGGTATCGGCGGCCTCTTTAAGATTAAAACGACCTGTATTACACTAACTAAGATTACAAAAACCTAGACCAACTTGCTTGTCGTGATCTTTACCCGCGAGCCGCTCTAACTAAAAGACAACGTCTTTGAAATTTAGCTTAAGGCCCTTAGAACTCAAATATAACGTCTGCGTTATTAAGAATCAAGCCTATGTAGGCTAAAATCAATGTTTCCGCACCTCGGTATCGGCCTCTTTTAGTCTAAAACGACCTCTATTTCACTAACTGAGATTACAAAAACCTACATCATCTTGCTTGTCTTAATCGTCACCCAGCCGCTCTAATTAAAAGGCAAGGTCTTTGCAATTTATTTTAAAGACTCTAGAACTCAAAGATAATCTCTGTGTTATTCAGAATCAAGCCTATGCAGGTTAAGCACGGTGCTTACTTTTGTTAGTGCGCACACGTTCTGCGCATCACGCAAGGCAGGTTTAAGCGCCACGCGCGCGCTGGGGTTAACAATGACGCAATTAACTACGCTACCAAGTACACGACTTAAACGAAAGCAAAATTTTCCCACTGTGACCAAATCAAGTTTAATGAACCTGTACTTAAAGCAGGAACACCAGAATAGCAGCATATTGCTAACCACTAACTGTTAACGCCTTCCAGCTGAAAAACTAGCTTTTGTCTGTCGAAAATTATACTGAAATCCAACTGTAAACATGTACCTGCAGATGGCGTAGTGCGCGCGCAAAACAAGTTCGAGATACCCAAATGTTTTACTTACTGGGGAGGTGACAGGAAAATATGTAACGGGCACCGTAAAAGTTTTCAAAAAAGATCAATAACTTTAAAAAACGCATGGCTACCCCGACATTTTATGCTATGAAATGGAAGTGACAAGCCTACTGAACACGTGATTAGTTTCTGGTTGTGAGCAAAAGGTATTTAGACTGTATTTTAGCTGAACCAGAGGAAGGCTGTCAGAGGCCCTTAAAGCGCTGTTGCGACGATTTTGTTATTAAAAACATACCAAAACTGGTTTTTATGTTACCATTTACCATGTAGTTTTAAGATCTTTATAAATGTGTTTGCTTTTCTGTCTGTAAAGGCGAATTCTAAGGAAATCTATGAAGAAATATCCTTTCCTTCTTTTTTCAGGAAAATGCTGATGTCAGCATTTTTGTTGAGATTTAAGGCTAATTATCTCGAAAAAATGCATGGCTACCCCAATTTTTCTTCGGGGATTCCAGTAGCCCTTGCAAAGATCTACTTTTTCCGCGTGGTCCTAACCTGGCGCAAAAACCTTTGTATTTAGTAAGCACCGTCCTTAAAGTCAATGTTTCGGCACCTCGGTTCTTGGCCTCTGTCTAAAACGACCTCTATTTTACTAAGGAAGATTACAAAAACCTACACAAACTTGCTTACCGAATCACTCTAAGTGAAAGGCAAGGTCTTTGCAGTTTTGTTTCAAGCCTCTGGAACTCAAAAATAACCAAAAATAGTCTCTCTTGAGAAACCAGAAACTGCAAGGGACCGCATACGATAAACGCTGCCAACGTAGGATCTACAAGAGATCTGATCAGCCAAAAAATGCATAAAGACAAACAATAGACTGCAAGGTTGATACTACGTGAAAAACGTTTCGAGACACCAACACGACAAGAACCGATAAAGATGGATCGTAACAGTGAACAGCTGTTTCGTCCTTCTTAGGACTCGTCAGCACTGTGTTAGCGAAGATATGTAACGCCAGCCTAACAGCCAACGCACATAAATTCCAAAATGACCCGTTCACTATATCAAGTTCCGTACTTTGAACTCACTTGCGCCCCGAAACACTCGTTGCCACATCACGTGTTTCGGGCGCAAGAAGACGAAGTGTCACGATTGGTGTCTCGAAAAGCAAACAATAAATGTGGCTGGATAAAACCAGCCTAAACAATGAACCGCATGGCCAGCACCACATGCTTTAAATACGCAGCGTATCGGATCTGAAAAGACCTACGGTCCGAAAATACATATGTGTCATGTTGGTGTCTCGAAACGTTGTTCACGTAGTATCAGCCTTGAGCGCTCCAAGCAGAAAGAACAAAGACTGCGACGAGGCTCACCGCTCTAAAT